TTGGCTAGCAGATTGGCTGACTTCACGAATCGTGCTTTAAACTAACAAACTTGGGGTGTTAGTGTCCAAAGCTGTGACACCTGCATGTTCATAGGCAACAGGGTAGGTATGTGCACCTACAAGAGTAGTAAGGAATGCTCCCCAACCCTCTCCAAAGGCAAGATTCTTAAGTTTTATTGTTTCCAGTCAGAAAAGGTTATCAAGCTGAAAACTGAAAACATTTCCTCAAGACTTTCTAAAGGGTTTTGTTTCTTTTTGGTTTGTCAGTAGTACTGGATTTCCTTTGCTGTAACAATAATTTAATCAAAACATGGCTTACATATTTCCATGTAAGAAAAACACAGTTCATTTGTTATTGCTGTTGTTTTAAATTAAATGCATGTCATTAAAATATTGTCATTAGTTTCAAAGTTTATTAAATTTCTCATCTTCTTTCAAAGGAAGTCTCTTATTTTGTATATTCTTTTGTTTGCAAAACTTTGAGTGAAACATTAGTGGCTTTTAAAAGTGAATGCACTGTGTATATACTTCAAAAGGCAAATGCTTTACGGGATCACAAGCAGTACAGACATCTCCTTTGGCTAAGTAAAAACCTAAAAGGAGAAACTGCCCTGTGTAATATAAAACTCCTATGGTACACACAGCACATAAACAAATCCTAACTTAAACTGTTTCAAAAAATGCAGGTGTCTTTTGTATCCATCAAGGAACAAGAATACTGCATAATACAACTGTTTGACAGGATTAGCAATAAGGTTTTATTTAAATTAAAAAAACATGACAAGTTATACCTAAAAGATTAAATGTTAAAAATTTAATTGTGATTATTAAGAGAAATAACATAAGCTATTTTCCAAAGAAATATTTCTGTAATGGGAGAGCACTTTAAGATGTTCCCACACATCTACATTTTTATAATTTCTTATCCTTTACTTGATTCTTCTTATTTTTTTTAATTTCTTTTCCTTTATCTTTTGAAATCAAAGTAGTACTGTAGCAAAGTAGCAGTAAGCCATGTCCATCCAAACTGCCAGATAATAATCCATACCTCTGCATATTACCCAGTTCCTCATGTTTCAACTATTTATTGAAAATACACATCATCATAAAACAAATTAGAAAATGGGCATATGTTCTTCTCAAGGTGAGAGATATCATCTTAATCATAATCAGGGGTTCATGGCACAGGCAGGTTAAGTCCAACATCTAACCTAGAAGACTGTGTGGAAAAAGCCCATAGCCCCACATTTTAGAATGAAGAAACCGTACAGAGAGATTCTCCGAGTACTGGCTCTGCAGAGCCGGCACAATCCAGATGAACAAGCCAAGTAGTTGCTACACTGCTGGAGAAAATTAATTTTAACAGTAGATGAAAGAGGACTGTTAGAAGAGTAAAAAAGGAGAGAGACAAAAAAAAGGTGTCCCAGGGGGCAGTGCAATACACTACAATACAAATACACTACCACTAACAAGAGAAACTGAGAATATAGGAAATGGAAAGCATTCCCCACCTTTCATATGCATTCATGCTTGAAAGGGGCAGGGAGCAGGGGACAGAAGTTCAGGTGCTGAGGAGCACACCCGCTTCTCCTACTCAAGTTTCTGCCCTAACTTGTTCCTGAGCTACCTATTTGAAAAGTAGTTGGAGCCACTGCCTACGACAACCTGCTAGATGTTCAGTATTTTACAATTCAAAGCATGATACAGAAAATCTAACAAACCTTGGTGACATTTCCAAGTATTGTTTTTCTACTTTTTTTTTTTTTGTGGTTACTCTGTACTAAAATCAGTGACATAAGGAGGCAAGTTAAGAAAAACAACATTCTGCAAATTTCTGTATTGAAGTTTTTACAATCAGTTCTGTCCATTGTCACACAAGTCCTTTTTGTGCTGACACTAATGCTTATGTTAAAAATTATCATGCACGTGATATGCACAAAAGCAACAAAAAGGACTAGCAATATTTGTAAATTAATCCGGGATTTTAAACAAGCCTTGTAATCTATTTCCAATGGCACAATTACGGCACTGAAGAGCTTTTTAATGAATGACATAATCCTCTAGCAAAAGATAACTAGTATTCCAAACATTGCTTATAAGGCTTTTTTGATTTTTTTTGCTGAACTATCTTTAAGAAAAACTGACTAATCAGACAGTTAATCATTCTGAGTTTACATTAAATCATAATAGGATATCAACTAGATGCATCTGAAAGAGATAAACTGAAAACCAATTCTAAACCCCAATGGTCTAACATTGGGATTCTATGGCTGATGAACTACCACAGTCCAGTTTCCTATGAATTTGCATCTTTTGTGCAAGAAACTGCACTCATTCATCCTAATTTCTTCATGTTCATGATGATACCCTTATCAGAAAAGGGGAAACCCCAACAGTGCATCTAGCTCAGGGCACCACACATGGTAACTGGCTAAGCTGGGTGCTGCCAAACAGAATGTGTCAGATCTAAGTTTTACCTGATTTCTCTTTTGTTTGAGAAGGAAATAAAACTAATTTATATCCTCTGAAATCAGTTTTATCATCTATAAGACTTTGAAACTGTCCCACGGAGAACAAAGCTTTGCTCCTTCAGAACTTTAGGCTAAAAAACTGATTATTTCAAACACAAGAAAGTAATGTTCAGGTTTGCTTTCCTTGACTAAGAAAGATTTTCTAATTAATAAAAAAATGGAAAATACTGCAAAATATTCTTACCTATTTTCTTATTTCGTTCTTCCCCACGACTGTGCGCAATAATTGGAGAATATATGAAGGGGCTTTTGGTTGACACATTCTGACCAAGTAGACTTTTCATTTTGTGAGGTCGAAGACTGGTCGGGAGGTTCAAAAGCTTAACAGATCTGTTGAGTAAAAACAATTTTAAAATATTTTATTTATTCTGTTTTATTTTATAATAGATGGTTGTGTTAAAAATGAACTGATAAATACTAAATGACAGTCTCAGTAGGTACTGATTAAAACACCTGAGATGGAAAACATGAAGTAAACACTTAGAGTACAAAAGAAAGTAATACCAACTCAAGGAAACTAAAGACAAAGTTTCAGAAAGCTCTCAGAAAACAAATACCAAAGGAAAAACATCTTCTGTAGAAACCAATAAAACCCAAACTATCCGGATCAGTGATCTGAAATCCAGCTATTAATTTCCAAGTTAAGTGCAGATAACAACAGATAGACCACAAGTCCAGTGCAGAAAACAACCAAATATTTACCTTAAACCCAAACTAGAAGCCAGAAGAAATTTCATTGGACAATGTAAAGAACTTCTCCAAGGTGAATAAAACAGACTTTAAAACAGTTAAAACGCACAGAGTTGCTTCTAGAAGGAAGGAAATGTCCCAGAAATTTTCGTGGGTTTGTTGAATGACCAGAAAGCAATTACAAATAGACAGAAAACAAATGATTTATTGGACTATATCCCTGTTAGACCCAAATCCCTACAATACCATGCAGGGAAATCACTGGCCTTGCAAAGCTGATGGGAAATTAAAAGACTAAATATTGGGCATAAGAACAAGCAATAAATTAGTGGATATTCAGTAGAAGTAGCAGCATTATAAAAGCCTGTAAGAATCCTAGTTACTTAGAGTCAGGAAGGACCGAGGAAAGGAAAAACAAAAGGTGAATAAAGGCATCATTCAGCATCATAGCTATTTTGCTACTGTCTATTAAGCTTGAGGTATTTGTGCTTTTAATTAAGAACATCATCAAGAGACGAGAATCTCCCCTTGTGGATTAAATCTCCAACTTTTAAAATCTGGTTTTCCAGTAAAAAAAAAAAAATCCTACAGAATAAAACTACAGTTTTTACCAATTGCTAGAGGCATCCCACCACACTGAGGTAGACAAGCAAGAATGAAATAAAACGCTTACAAAATTTCCCAGCAGTAAACATTTAAAAGATACTTAAAAGCTATAGTAGGCGTGTACCAAGACAAACAACAGAGTCTAGCTAAAATCCTAGGAGACTTCTAAAACCAATTAAGAGGCCAAGCGGAAGAATGCTAGAAAACCCCAACTTGTTTAAAGATTAACTCCCTTCTTCCCCCCTTTCCTACCCAACTCCCACAGTAAAACTTATCTCACTGGAATTCTTTGATAATGCCATAATAAACCAGAGAGGTTATAAATGTTACAGTACATGATTAAGTTGTCGTGTTTTATGAAGTTCTTCAAATAGTATGACAAGAGCACTTGAGCACTAAGAAAGAAACCTGCCTTCCTCAGCTGTAAACTTAAGTGTCTTCACTTTGAAAAGCAGATAGGTATTCTTTTACATGTTAAGAGGTTTGCATCATTTACAGGATATAACTGAAATAATTCACTTGCCAAAGCTACAGAATTATACTTAATTTCAAAACAATAAACTATTACTGAGAACATGAAAATAATGTTAAGTCCTCAGCACATTAAAGAACAGTTGTACCAATATCCCACTAATAAAAACCACATACATACAAGAAAACAATTTAAAAATTACCCAGATCATTGAAAATAATGTGCCACTGCTGAAAAATAATGAAGCTGTCTGTGTAGTGTTACTCTTGCATGTTATCCCTGATACAAGACACCTGATAAGAAGTTACTAGATAACACTAAAAGTATTTTGGAACAAGAAATAAATTACATCTATATATTATCTGTTGGTGATGCTTAGTGTCAGCAATTTGTTGCAATCATATGCAAAATAACAGACAACAAGCCTGAGGAGTAAAGAGAAAGTATGACAGATTGCTGGATATTTCATATTTTGAAACCTCTTCTGATAGAATTTTGTTACAAATTAGAATGCAACTTAAAGCAAAACATGTAAATGATACTTATTTGAGGAAACATTAAATTTGATAAAGTGCTAATAAAAAGGAATTTTATTTTATATATAGAAAGAAGTGCTTTAGCTTATCCATCATTATTATATAAATAGTGGTGGATAACCTTTTTAATCTTAATGCATGACAGTGGAAGTGATGTTCTTCAGCCACATAGTAGAAAGCTATACCCTCACAGGTCATACATAGAACGTTAATTCCTTTGTGTGAAAAGCTTCAGTAACATACATTTTCTAGCCCCTGGCCCAGCCCAACTGAATTCAAATGAGTGACAATTATGAATTACAAAGTAATTTCACTAGCTACCCAAAAGATCAAAATCTTGTATTTGGAAAAAGTTGTGTTAATTAAAAACAACCTTGCTTAGAGGGGAAATGAAGAAAATTTTAAAAACCCCACTCTACTAAGTAAACAGAGGGGAAGAAAAAATGGCACCAAGTAAATTTAAAGTAGTAAGAAAAGTATATAAGGACAACCAAAAGACTTCAGTGGTGAAAAGGAAGAAAATTCTTTCTTCTGTTAATTATATTAGTAAGAAAATTAGTTTTAACCCAGGTAAATTATGAAAATTGGAATAGCACATCTATTAGAATAGAAAGACAATAAATTATTCTCTTTTGTATTACCGAAAATACTAGATATGATTTTACAGTATGCTATAATGGAATACTTTCCAATCCAACATGCTTTTAATTTCTGAAGCTTCATCAAAAGAAATAAAAATTCATCAAGGAGGTTTCGAGATTGGACTAGAGTATTTGAAATGTCAAAAAAAAAATCCCAAAATTCCAAAGGCTAAAAGAAAATACATAAAAATATTATAATATTTAAAGCACGTCAATAATAGACCAAGCATCTATTAAAAGACGATACACACAAAGAAAGACTACAAAGAATAGCATACTTAAAGGACTGCTAGTTAACATGAGTAACGGAATATCAAGATTTTGCCAAGCCAAATCTTTTTTTTTTCTTTTAGGGTTGGGGGGGGGGGGGGGAAGGAGTTAACAGTGCAACTATGTTCCAATTTCACTGTGGCATTTCAATGTTTGACAGTATTTTGATTAAGAAATCTGCATCCCAAATAAGCACTTCACATTAAATGGATTAAGAACTAGTAGACCATGAAATGCCAACAGTAAATAGAAGTCGTCATCATCAGTAAATGCGTACGTTTCTAGAGGGCTCTAGCATGGATTAAGTAATAAGCTTAGGTTATTCAACATTGATCAAAACCACATTTCCACACATTTATAATTTATGTCTCAAAAATTAACATTATTTACCTCAAAGAGCTCTGCAGTCCTGCATCATGATTATTTTCCAACTAGCTGGACAGCTCCACAATACTCTAGGTCTGCTACGTAGATGTAACTGGAGGCTTTACATTTAGACGCATCTAACATTTTGTTGGATTATGGATTTTTATCACTATGGCTTTTATAGAACTTTCAAAAGACAAGAAGGGGGAAGGGGGAGAGGAGCACAAACGGCAATTCTTAGCTGTTAAATAATGTTGATATTTTCAACACTCCAAGCGCAACCACGTCAGCACAAGCTGGTAGTGTAAATTAAGCCCCTGGATGGCGAGCAATTTCTTAAAGCTAGCCCTAGGAATAACAAGTAAATATAACTTGCTTGTCCCCTTCTCTCAGCATACAAAACATTTTAAGTCAGGCAGAGCCTTTCCCATTGAAGTCTTGGTAATCTGTTGCCAAAGTTTTGACTGGCCTTTATATGCATGACTCCTATAAAAAAAGGATTCAATTGGCATTTCCCATATCTTCAGACTTGAATTCTCTTCAATATTCAGCATGGAGAAGAACAAGAAATCATTATGGAATACATTCAGTACAATCCACCTCCTCCATGGTTTAAAAGTTAAGCAAAAAGCAAAAACCTGAGACTAATTCAGGATTTAACACTTCACAGCTAAACACGTGGCTGCTTTTTTAGCACAAGGTAAGGGTTAGACTCAAGGGAACTTTAGCATCGCATTTCTGCACCTATTTGACAGCCAAGGCAGACAGATACCATACACAGTCAGATTAAGGAAGGTAGTTTTGGTTTTATACTGTGTAAGACTTAAGATTATTCCTAGAACAGAGATCTGCAAGAGGCACTAAATGGCTGACAGAACTCTTGCTCCCAAAAGAAAATATTTTGCCTTAAAAACGTTTTCATGGAAGCTTTTGCTCTAACTTCTCCTTACAATCACATTAACTCAAGTACTAGAAAGGACTATACAAGTTTGCTTAATTAACTTCAAATTTTTTTAATACTATTTAATTTTTATTTCTAAAAAAAAAAAGGTTAGGTTAAAATTTGCCCTAAGTTTGTTGTCTAAAAACTTTCAGGAGAAGAAATACAGGCCTCCTTCATGTATTTAGCTGGGAACCTGCCTTCAGAATGTACTGACCAGGGAACTCATCTAACACACAGACACAGTTACCTGAACTTTTCTTTGGGCATCTTTAAGATCAATGAAAAATGAGTCAATACAGTCCACATACTCCAGTAATTCAACTCATCCTAAAGTGATATGTAAATTAGGTTAGAAAAACCTGGAAGTTACTATCTACGTGTCTTGACTGCAAATATGAGCTAGGATAGTCAAATATGACTAGTTTAGCTCTATACATAGATTTTTTTGTGAAACTAAATCAACCCCAAGGTCAGCTGATAATAAATTACTCAAATAACTTTTCCACTGTAATATGTAGCTTTGCTTCTAACAGTTAAGGTTTGGGGATCATATGTCCACATTACATGTTTTCCAGCAAAGAATTTGATACCAGCTGCAACTCCAAAGTACACACTGCACCACTGAACAGGCAACACAGAGCAGGTATCTGCACAATCATCCTAGATGATTTGTCAGCGCCAACTGAATCCACTGAGGGGACAATGCTGGAAGACCTCAAGGAAGGTGCATTTTTGCCCATGAGTACACATTAAAAGTGCAGTGACCCAGGTGGCTGGCCAGTGCACAGCTTTCTACTTGGTCCAACCAGGAGAAAAAAAAACAAACAAACACTGTTTCCAGGACACCCCTGGAAACGGTGTGACCATTCTGATTCCGCATACAATTCCATCTGACCACATACAACCATATGCTCCAGTCAAACCTGCACCTTAAGCAAGCACCTCCCACACAACAAACTGTTAGTGTGAACAGACCTATCGTGTTAAATGCACTACAAATAGTTAGACAAGGTCTCTTTCTTCAGTAAATGTGAAAAAAAAAAAATTGAAGAAGTTAGAGAGAACATAGTAAAACTAGTTGTATCATGAAAAATGGTCATAAAGTAAAACATTCATTTTCATTTTAGAGACTAAAAGTAATCGGAAAATAAATATAATTTTCACTCTTTGGTTATACACTTTATTATCTCTTTGTGATACCAGAACTCTTGCTTCATGAAATGTTTTATGACATCCCACTGAGAACTCAAATCTCTACAAGAACTCTTCAATAACTTCTACCGTATTTTTTCTGAATAGCAATTATCTTTCCTTCAAAAAGCCACTTCTTGACAAAGATTTTCTTTTAGCTTTTTCTTTTATAATTGATGCCCAGTGGCTGTATTCTCTCTCTGACTCTCTCTAATGCTTCATGCTAGGCTTTAATCTAAACAAGGTATTATTCATTGGACTGACTGCATGATGTGCTTTGGCACACAGGCACAAAAAGGAACAGAGATTTAGAATAGGCCAGTGAAGGTGCCAGCCTGAAAATGCATCATCTGGAAAGGAACAAGCTACAAAAGGCATCAGTTCCAGCTGAGTTCCATGCTCCACAGATGGAAACAGCACCCAACTCCTGGACCTTCCGTATGATCAGGCACTGAACTTAAATCTCAGCTGCAATGACAAAATACTTTTCTTCAATTGTATCAGAAACTCTTGAGTGACAGTTTAAAAAAAAAAAAGCCTCTCTCCTTTTGAAACTAAAGGCCACAGAAGGTATTTTCTGCTCAAAGGCTCTATTTTTGCCTAAGAACTTTTCAAAACAATTTGACATTTTGACATTTTTCCATGTTACTGTGAACAACTTACGTAAACTGAGAAGACTACATCCTTCCAGTATCCTTTAAATTTTGACAGGTACTGTGGAAAAGTTAAAGATTATATTTTGGAGTCTTACCTCACAATAGGCAATTTGGTGAATGGAACAGGAGGTAACTTCAAACCGTCTGGAAGAGTGATGAATTCCATTGTACCAGGGCATTTTGCTGTGTAGCTTTCCAAGCTCTGTGTTACATCTTTCTTTTCTAGAAAATAAATTTGTTTAAAATAAGATCAAAAAACAATTTCAAACTTACATGTAACAAAAGTTTATGATGCAGTTATAGCCTAAAGTTTTACTTGGTTTTTTTGTATTTATACAAAATAACTCTAATGGAATGCCAACTAATTTTTGCATACAATGCTTAGAGTTACGCTCCAGAAGCCTTAATGAATGGATCAAATATAATTAAGTGACCTTACATAAGACAGTTTTCTGGACTTTTCAGAATTTTTGAAGTGTCACTCTATACCTATTTTTTGTTAATTTTTCCATTGTCAAAATACAAATATCTACAATTTATCTAGTAAATCTACATATCCAACACAATTGGCCTTAAGCATGTTAAGGTTACTAATAAATAGCATTGTTACGTGAACAAGCCCTGCTCTGAAACATTAGCTGAAACAATACCAAAGCCAAAGAAGAGAAACAAATTATTTTTGATGTTACCTTGTGTTAAAACTACTTCATTCTTAAAACAATGGTACTATAGTATGCTACTAAATCATAACAACTGGTAAGAAAATTTTTCTTTTTGCTTAAATTGCTTAAAAATACAAGAACATTCAAACAAACATATGTTATTTGGGTTACTTTCAATAATGGATAATAAATGCTTATGTATTTTATCAAAAAATTGTTTTTAACAATGTATACAATTGTGTCTCCAGAAAAAAAAAAGTCTATTTGGAAATATACGGCCTGAACACAAAATTACATTTCTGTGATGAAATGGGAGTCTGCAAACAGAAATAAGCCTGAGAGTGTATGTTTAGAGGGGAGAATGAGATAGGTGAAAAGTCTTAGACCTATATTGTTTTAAAGCACAGTAAACATTCCTCCATATATGTGCTACCAATAAAAATAACTAGTCAATAACTAAACTGTTTCTAGAAAATACTTCAGAAATCAAAATACTCAAAAGAGAAAAGGGAAGAATGATAGCAAATACTGCTTTCCATAAAAACTGCTTAGACAAGTGTATTGAGTTTATGGGGCAAAGTTTTGGTAGCAAGGGGTGCTGCAGGGGTGGCCTTTGGGAGAAGAGACCAGGAGTAGCTCCATGTTGGAGAAAGCCGGTTCCAGCCAACTCCCAAAATGGACCTGCCACTGCCCAAAGCTGGGCCCATCAGCAATGCTGGTAGCATCTCTGTGATAACATATTTAAGAAAGGGTAAAAGATGCTGCGTAGCAGCTGTGAGAGGGAGCAGTGAGAAAAATGTGAGAGAAACATATCCTGTAAACGACACCACTGCCCAAAACGCCACCTTGGGCCTTGAAAGGCACAAACATGATGTTTGTGCTGCCCACATCAATCCAGCTTAGTTTGTAAGCTTCCAAGGCCATGAGTACATACTCTTTCAAAGCAAATAAACATGAACGGTAATCGCCTTCACTCTGAAATTAATGCCACATAACTGAACAATTGCCTTGCTTGTGTCTGTGTTTCATTGAACTGTCTCTTGAACCATTCACTACATTTTAATTTTGTGTAGGAAATGTTCCCCAAAATACATTATTAGACATACACATACACTCAGATCAGCACAGCACAGCCAGGAGTTCTAGTGGTTCAAGACAGTATTTTCACAAAAATTTCAGGCTACAGCATTCAGGTTGTTATTTGCCATGTTATATGAGCAAGGGCACATAGTACAAGTAGAATCCGCTGAGGTGGAAAGCATCACAGCTACCAAGAACGATGAAGACAACACTACCGTATGCGCTTAATTCTGCTTGAAACTGGAGGTCTGTCATTGTGAAGAATTGGCTTTCATTTCCTAGTGTAAAACAGTCAATTACTGTATTCGAAGAAAGCATGCTGCCACTTGCAAAAAGAATTTGTTTATAGATTTGAGTTGCATTTTTATTTCACAGTGGAAGCTCAGCATGCTTTCCGCGAAGACAAGGCTAAAACAAGACATTTTTCTATGCTGATATTGGATGAAATGCAGTTTAAAACATGCTGCTGCCAAGCCAGCAGTTCTATTACTTTTTACTTGGCACCACATCTCAGCTGAGATGCTAAAGGAATCCACATCAATAGGACATATTAAGATGCACTCATGATGCAAAAGAGCAAGAGCTGCATGATCTTGCCTGACAGCCACTTCTGAAAGAAAATGTTGGAGCCTTTCTCTGTTGACTGAGCACCTCTGCTACCTGACCTCTGTGGTATGAATGAATGATACAAATTTCTCTACTTAGTCAAATTTGCAAAGCCTTATAGTTGCCAAAAACCTGCTACAGACTGCTACTTTCAAACAGCTCTGAATTCTAGCATCTGCCTGGCTGTCATCATATTTTGACACAATCACAAACTGCACAAACCTCCTGGGAAGATCTATTCAACTACTAAGTCTCCCGACCCATAGTTTAGAAGACTGACTGTGACTGAAACAGTTACCATCGGTACTTATCTTTCTCTTTGCAAAGAAGAGATAGGAAACAGCTACTCTTGGAGGTCTTTACCCACCTAGTGCCTTCATGCTTGTATACCTCAGCAGGAAGGCATTCAACACTTGATCCTTTGACCCGTGAATTCACCTCAACCGCTTTAAAAGCCTGCACTGCAGCTGGAAACACTACTGGATACTTGTGTAGGTATTACAGAGACTCATTTATTGAGTGAGAAATGATGGACTATTTCCTCACCTGGAATAACTACATTCATTATTATTATTTTTTTTCCTACAGTTTCTCTCCAGACTCATTGAAAGATCAGGATCATAGAATGGCTGCAACCAATAAAGCTGAACAAAGCCATAGTCAGTATTGCCACTCAAGCACATACTTCTCAGTTTGTTTAGCATAATCTCAGTACAATTTCCCCATTGCATACCAAATTCTTTTCATTATGTTTTTTTAGCTGCTTCTGACAACTGAAAATTTTGCAAGTCCACCAATATTCTTGCTATTTTTTTTGCTTAACTACTTCATGTCAACACCACGAATGTTGGTTTTGTCCCAGAGCTGCTTAAAAACTTCTTCTAATATGAGAACACAAAAATCTGAAAGCTTCAGTTGCACAGTTAGAAACCATTTGTGACTGAAAGCTCTAAATGTGAAAAAGAAAAGTCTTTCTGCTAGTTTCACTATAATGTGAAGCAGTATTTCACAATAATGGAGCCATTGAAAAATCAGACCTGGACAGGAAAGAAGGTCAATTATAGACTAATATTTTTAAAGCACTTCAGTAACTGTGATTTAACAGTATCACACAAACAGCCTTTCATGCCTTGGCAGATAACAGAGAAAATTAGAAGAGCACAGTTGCTATAACTGTACAATTTAGCTCTTCAATACTTGAAGAAATTTAAAATATCTTTACTCGGTCACTGTGACAGTCTGACAAATTATAGTCAATGTCTCAAACATTCATTAAAGAACTTTGGTAGAGAAGAAGGCCTCTGTAGAAGCGCTGGAGTTGTGTGAACAGGACAATGTGGCCGGAGGAGAGGGCCCCACGGAGGGTGGGACCGCGCTTCTCAAAAGCAGCAATTCCTTATCTTCAGCAACCACGAGAAGGAGCACAGCATAAGCGCCTGGAGGAGAGGGCCCCACAGAGGACAGGACTGCGCTTCTATCTGAAGTGGTCATGCCAGCAGGGAGAGAGAGGCAACTCCCCAATGAACCCCCAAGCTCACCGACTGACTCCAGAGAACCCCGGGAAGGTGAACTGCGCGTCGAGACCACCGACTATAAAAGAAGGGAGGATGAGTTCTCGGCGCATGCCCTCCAGAACTGGATCTCTAGACTGGCTGGACCAATGCTGGACCCAGGACTGGTGAAACCCTTTTCTTTTCTTTCTTTCTTTCTCTCTCTTTTTTCCTCTCTTTTCCCCAGTCCCTATGCCTCATCCTTTTAAACATAAACCATTGATCAAGTATGAGACTAGGAGTGGATCTCGCCGTCCCTGGGCTCCTTTTTAGGAGTCCAGAAAGCAAGGGGGTCTGCTCTGAACCTCATGACTCAACGGGAGGTCTCTCCTTCTGACACAGTTTCATGTTCCTTTTTCCGCTCCTTTTTCTACACCTCCCTTCTCTTGTCAAACAACGGTTTAATGACATGATGCAAGGTTCATATTGATAAGTTCACTTATACTTGGGCAAGGTTAGCTTGGCTGAATAAATGTTGATTGTTGTTTGAACTCCCCTGGTGTTGTTTCACCTGAATTCTGACAAAGGAAATACACAAACCCGAGTCGCTCCAACTTTGGGATGCAACAGTCTCAGTCACTACCTATTAAAAACTAAGTCAAATATTAAAAATACAACATTTGTTCTCTGGCAAACAACTGGTTGATCTGGTTTTGATGAAGTTGTGTCCCCTGCAGAACAACCTACAGCAAGGTAAAATGAAGAAAGGGAACATTCTATGTCTGACCTGCCAACTACACTGGAAGACAAACAGCTTTCTATTTCCTTATGCAACTTGCTAAAATATTGAAAAAGGAAGTTGGGAAACAAATAGCTAAAAGCCTTCTGACTTCAATTTTCCCTTGGTGATAAGCCCAGAATCAACATTTTAACAAAAAACCTAGTACCCAGGGGTTTTTGTGCTGGCTGAGCTTTTCCTTCCCCCTTGAAAACAGCAAATAATGTTCACAAAGGAGAAGTCCGAGGAGACCTCCTGCAGCAGTCAGCCCCTGAGAAGTGGCAGACAACTGGCCTACCCAACTCTCTCAGGAACAGAGTCAAACATCTCTTTGATAAGTTACTAGTAACACGTAAGAAGACAGAAAAGTCAGTCTGACAGCAGAAAAAGCAAGAGAAACAGTAGTTTCTGCACCCAGAAACACAGATACTTCCTTCACCAAAAAAAAAAAAAAAAAAAATTTGCTTGGTGAGCCCTCTTACAACTAGGGAAGAAAATAAGTCAGTGTCTGCTGCCAGGGAGATCTTCAGCATCACCCTGCCATCAAGACACAGTGTGTTCTTTAAACTAAAAAAGAATTTCAAAAAGGGCACAAAATACATTAAG